CTTTGGGGTCTCAGCCCAGATAGGCTCCGGGGGTGGTCCGGGGCGGCCCTGAGGTGAGGTTCCACGAGTGTTCCACCAGTGCCACCAGGGTTGCACGAGGTTCTATAAGGGCTACGGGGTAGTGCGAACACTAAAAAGAGTACGCGGGGGTAAAAAACATGAGTTCCAAGGGCTCGCTACATTCATCTCGATATGATCTTCGTATGGATTTGCCGTTGGGGAAGCACTAAACTGGGAACGAAGCCTCAACCAACACACAAACACCAATGTGCTTAAATAATGCTTCCGCCATACAGCTTGATTTTCGCCAAGCAACTGCATCCGTAGCTTCAAGCATGACTCGCAATGGCAGCAAAGCGTCAAAAGCCATTGGCTCTTACGGAGATACGGAAATCAACAGCCAGTGCAAATTTCCGCAACTTCAATCTCAGAAGTTGCGGGAGACATGCCCTACGAGCGCCAGGAACATTCAACAGGCTCATTCTTTCCAATGTGTGCGGGAAATAACAAAAGTTCGACATTCTTGTGGTGTCACTTCATTCAGGATTCTCTTGGTGAAGCCAAACAACTCCCCAAACCGAGTCCCGAGACGCCCACGCTCCGCGGTGCAAACTCAAAGCCCGCCGCTTGTGCCGACAATGGAAGCTGTCCATGAATCTAAATACTCACTTGCCGCTGAGGGACCCAGAAACAAAAGGTGATCACCTTTTGGGCCATGACTAAACATGGACCAAAAGGGGAAAACCAAAGGTTGGCTTTGAACAACTAAGAATAGGGAAACCTTCAGTGGCTGGTGCTGGACATCACTTAGGGTCCCCATTCAAATCATACACTCATAGGGGAGGGTTCTTTGTGGCACACCTTACCCTCTTCATGTGTGACTGGATGGTGCTATTATGGATATGGGTCCGAGCCAGCAAAAAAGCACGCGAATCACGGACATGTGTCTTTCTTTGTTCCCCAAGAGGCAACAAATGGCTTTGGATGTTTTTGGCTGGATATGCCGGCTTGTATCCCTTCTTGGTTTCATCCTGGATCCAAACAAATACGTATATATCGGAAAACACATTGGGTTCCTTCACTTGGCCTTTCTTGTGTTGTTTTCATGTGGTCGCTACTTGGGTGCATCTTTTTTGATGGTTTTTGGGCGTGGTCTTAAAGAGAACAAACAGGGAACACCTCACCAATTCTCTCAGGCCCCCTATTTTGAGACCCCATGCGGCTGAAGGGCACCGAGTCGTGGCTTGCTAGGTCTTCCTCTGGGATGGGATGAGTTCGTTCCAACCCCCCGGCAGAAACAAGGAACCGAACCAATGCTCCCAGGAAAGTAATACGAGGCACAAAGACAGGGTGTTGATATGAGGGCTCAAATGAAAGACATGAGCGATGATCAGAACATAGCATATAGTTTTATAGTTTGCTTGTGTGTGTGTGTGTGTGTTTGTGTGCGTGTGGGGGGGCAGTTGTTAGCTCTTATACCGGGCGGTTCCTGTGTACAGGGCATGGGACAGTTAGATGTTGTGTATTGAATGTTATGTTCAACTTAGAGAGTCCCATGCACTCAAACTGGCCAAAACCGTGCTTGGCAAAAGCCTCAAACGAGAACGGGGCAACCAAACAGGTCCTTTGGAAGACATTTCGGATAGGGTCTGCTTCAACTACGGAAGTGAGCACCGCTGCCACTTCCAAGATGGTTGTAAAAGTTCATGTAGACACTCGTGCAGCCCTTAAGTTAGCCCCCCGACTTATAGTTGGATCGCGAGGATTGGGCAGTAAGGATTTGGGGGCCGAGGGCTCGTGTGTGAGTGTGTTTATTGAGGGTACCCTGGGCCCTTTGGTGTATAGCTTTGGCAACAATCAATTGCCAAGCTGCCATTTCTTCTGGGAGGATACAGTTCGTGGGAAGCCATGCACCAAATAAGAAAGGGGACTTGTCGGCTGGCTGCGCTGTGCCTCGGAACATCCGTCCTCCACGGCAGTCGAGTCGAGTCTCAGGGCCAGGTGTTGATGGCCAAAGTTCTGAATCCTGCCGATTGGGGTTGGAGGTGGAGTGGAGTGTTTGATATCAAAGTCTCCGCTGAAAAGCCCTGCCACGAATGTAGGCGAAAACTCTACCTACATGAAACATCTGCACCAAAAAAACCTGGTCGGAAAAGATCTACCGTCGCCAGTCGAGGTTACGCAGGGACAACAAGAGGGCACCCCGCTCGGGAGATCAAGAAAGCGAAGCAAATCACAGGTTACGAGAGCAAGCTTTCAACAACATTGTGTTTTTGCACTATGACCAATTCTTGTGCATCGCCTGCCCCATCTCTCCCCTCCCCGAAGTGATGCAACGGTTAAGCGGCGTCTGGAGTGGCACTTTCTGCCGCAGAATGTCTTTTTTTCACGAAAGGCTTCCGCATCTCAGCTTCCGCCAATCAAGCAAGGAATGAGGTAATTTCAGGGTTGGCCGGATTCCCATCGCTCGTTGCTCGCTTGAGCCTAGAGACAAAAGCGTGACGGCAGGAATGAGCGAGGGAACGGAGAGGAGTTAGGATGGTGAGTAAGAGTCATTCCATTCCTACCTTTCTCACCTCACCACCTAGCAGGGCGATTGGCCCAGAAGGCTCTGCAAAGAAGCTGTCGCTGCAACAGCCCTTTTTGTTTCGCGCCTCTCCATCAAAATCGGACATGATGTGCATGGGATCTCAAATTGGTGGCTTTTGAATTGATCCTGTTTCCGTTCCTTTCACCCATCGTTCTCTTCAAGCCACGTCTAATTTTCAGGCCTTCGTGGCGGGATTTCTACAGCACCTTTGCCCTACCAGGATGTGCATGGCACTTCGCAATTTGAGTTGGTCCCATTTCCAGGATTTTGACCTGTTGTGTTCAATCACCATCCAACTTCAGCTTGACTGGTTTATGGCTGTTCTCTGGAATCGAAGGATCCGCGGGTTCGGAATGGGTGAGGTACAGCTAGACACTTGGCCACGTGATAATATGATATCTGTTGCCCCAACCCATACAGGCGCTCCCTTGTATTGTTCCACAGTCTTCTTTGCTTCAACAGACCTCCTGCGGTATCCAAGGAATCAGCGATCAGGAAAACTTCCCGCAAGAGGCATCCACTAACTGGCCATCCTTGCCATAGCAACACCGCAAACGCACGCAGCTTTCACCCGCAAAAAGAAACACAAAACGCAGAGCCCAAGCCTGCCATAAACATTGACGCTATGATCAGAAAGCTCAAACAGCATATGAGCCACGGCCAACATAAAATATAAAAGATACGCGGAACGGATTTGGCGAGTCAGCTTGGTTATTGCGAGCATTTAGTGAGTGAGTTCCCTGTATACCAAAACTATAGCCATCAAACAGTATCCCGTGGAATAGTATCTGCTGTTGTGTTGAAACCAAACACCTTTCGGGCCATCCTATTTGAGCACGAATCTGATTTATGCTGCAAGAACCCACTGCAAGCGGACTCATCCTCTGGCAAGCCACACCGCGCCTTGTGTTCTTGCCCGGCTGGGTTAGACTCCTGGCAGAGACAACTCTGATTTGTTCTCGAGTTTCACCCCATGTGCAACGCCCATCCGAGCAGTTCACTACGACTCGCACAAATATGGGGCCAATGGTCATACCATTCACTGATTGCTGGAAATGAGTCACGTGCATTCACAGTATTCACTCCCTGGTCTGGAAATCATGTACTCCCCGAAGTATACGTTGTTGTCTTTCTACCACCCAAAGGAATTGGAAGTGGCACAGTCTTCACCTAACAACAGGAAGTAAGGAACCCCCAAGTCAGGGACAATCATCATGGATACTCCCCGATCTGAACAGCATATGGAGCTTGTTTTGTGCCAGTTTGAGGTGACACAAATGTTCAAGGAATGCGAACCCTAACCTGCTGAGGTTTTGGAATCCTGGCTGTCTTTCCTTTCAAGAGATCAAACTGTACGCTTTGCCAGGCTGCACTGGGCGTCCATGATCGCGCCCCTGACAGGCCTTCAAAAGGGAGTTTATCTACACGACCGTCAGCATTGCAAGCTCCCCTCAAAACATCCGAGCGAAACCATATCAAAACATGCCAGAGTCGTACGAACCAAGCACGCGCCGCGAATGATGGGGAAATCAACCAATGCTGCATGTGGTAGGTTCTATCGACAGTCTGCTTGGGCCAGCAAGGACCATGTTCTTGTCTCAAGCTCAGGGGCAAACCTTGGTTCAAACAAACAGCCCAACTGCAGTTCCAGCATCCTAAGTTAGTTCCAGCGTCTCAGGAGGGAAACGCCTTTGAATCAAGTTGCGCAAGAATTGATCTTTCCAAAGGGCTCTGGACGACCTCACGCGTCTCACGCACGCCCCACAGGCCCAGCAGGTCCGCTGATGCCGAGCGCAGCCACAGCACGCTCCTAGCGCCGCAAAGTGGGGGCGGGATGCGACGAAAGCCTCGTCACTCCAAGACTCCAAGTGCAAAAGGTCCGGCGTCCCCTTTTGCGCCTGGCACGGGCCTGAGTGGGGCGAGTCGCAAGGCGAGGAATTCAATTCGGAGTCAGGACGGTTTGCTGCGTGCTTGCCAAAGTGGCAGAGGCAAGAGGCTTCCAAATCAGAACTGCGTGGTGGTGCAAACCGTTTGTCTGAAAGCGTGCACAAACTGTGAATTCTGCGTAGCATCGGCGTGTGACAGTCTCCTGCCAAGCCCGATAGTCTTCTTATGCGGGGGAAGGCGACAGGCAAATGCATGCTCAAAACATGCTGCTCAACCTGCATACGCCAGCTGCGAAATCCGTTCAGCATTGGTGCGACAGAGTCCTGCCAAGCCCGCTGCCAAGCACAGCATCAAAATGACTTGTCTGAGCTTTATTCATTCTGACGTTAGGACGCCGCGTATTTTTTCATGTTGAGTTTTCCTCTAAATTTCAGGTATCGCTTTTTTGGACTTCTCCGTATCGTGTTTTTCGAGAAAACATAAGAAACAACATATGCGTGAAATACTCCTACATAAAGTAAATGACGGTAATTTCGAAGCTGACTCGTTGGCAAAAAGGTGAAACTTGATGGAGAACTGCGAAGTGCTGAATCTTCTCCTGCAATCAAAATGGCACCTTTGGCGTCTTCCGCTGCTCCAGAGAGCATGTGAGAACAAGCGAGCTCCGTACTCATTTCTTGCTTGAGCAGGCCAGCACTGTGCTCAGTGGATCGCACATGTGTGTTTTTGGCGATCTTTGGCCTCAGACGTCCACCCAAAACTTCATGCCCTGCGCTTTCTTCGCCGCTGCCAGCTCCTTCAAGGCCTGGCGCGTGGTGCTGCGCCTCCGAGAAGTGCACCCACGGACGCCCGTCCCGTCGCACTTCACACCACCGGGGGGAGTGATGACGCCAACAAAATAAGTCAACTCCCAGGCCACGGCCCAAACGGTTGTCCCACGAACCTCCTGGCCTGTTTGTTTCTCTTCCGGCCCCCCCGCTCCCCAGCTGCGAGTCACTTCCATCGAAGCGCTTGAAGGCCCCTCGACCCGTGGGCATAACTTACGTCACCTGTTGGCGTGTGCATGAAGCAAGGTGGGGACACTGATTGGCACGAGAGCTGCGCTCTTGGCAGGGCCAACTGAAACCTGGGACCACCAAAATGGATCGACCTTGAGAAACAGCAAAAGCGAAGCAACAATCTTTGAGTGCGCCACCCCATTCGAGGGCGCCCCAGGAAATCAGGCAACGGCGAACAAGTTGAAAGTCCCGCCAAAGGTGTGATAGGCGCAGGCCGAGACATGCTGAAAGCAAGGCTATCCAATCCAGGTACGGAGCCTGGCCACCTGTCCACTACAAGATTCAGGTGGCTCAAGGAACAGCGTGCATCTGTTGGCTGCCGTGTTTCAAACTGGCTGCGGAGCTCTTCGCTACGCCTGACTCATCGCCAATTGGGTTCTTACCCAAATGGACGAATTCGTCGGCCAACGGTTGCCAGGAGCCGGTACTTGCCAATCCCCCACCAAAGATCTCACATGTCATGAAAAATGCAGGCCAAATGCGCGGCTACTTTCTTGAATCTTTTGCTGCAATTGCTCTGGTGGGGTGGCACCGTTGACCCCGTCAGAGAGCTTAATGGCTGCGGCTCAAAGCTGACAGTCCAGGGACTGCAAAATGATTCAAGCAAGGTCAAGGGCCACTTTGAGGATTCATTGGTCAGTGGCGCTGTTGTGCCCAACATCAAGTGGCAACCAACATATTCCATTTGTTGTGAGACTTGGGCCGCAAGGACGGAGCAGGAGCTGCTGTTTGAGTGGGGGGTGAGCCAATGTGACCGTTAGGCAAGCGAACAAAAAGAAACTTTGGGCAGACTCTAGGAACAGCGGCAGGTAATGATTGGCACAAGAGCGTCTATTTCTGTGACTCGCCTATTGCCTTCCATGAAACTTGCTAAACAATGAAGCGTTCATCTAAATCTGCATGACGGTAGTTTTGACCCGTCTCATATATAGCTCACGGAACAGCGTGCATCTGAGGGCTGCTGTGATCTATGGGGGCGTCTGATGGGAAGCGGATAGGCAAATCAAGCAGGAGGTAATCAAGCTCGTGCTCGCAATGGCTGCATTCTGGAAGAGAGCGATGGATCTGTAATGTCCACATAGGATAAATGCGCGCGGAATAAAGCCAAACGGGTGGCCCAAAAAGATGAATAAATGCACCTGGAATAAAGACAAGCGCCCGCCACCCGCGCCAAAAAAACATCCCCCGCCCCCCAGAGAAAAAAACAAGACGAAACAAGAAAGAAAGAGAGAAACAAGGGGAGAGATAGCCAACAAACCCACAAAGGGGCCCCCAAAATAAAGTCTTGTTGGCTGGCCCACCCAAGAAAATCAAAAGGAAGCTCCAGCAATACTACATCAAATGGAAACTCAGTCAAATCTCAAAACAAAGCTCCAGCAATACTAAGTCAAATGGAAACTCAGTTCCAAATTTGCAAAGGAAGCTCAAGCAATAACTCAGTTCCAAATCTCAAAAGAAAGCTCCAGCAATATTAAATCAAAAGGGAACGTCTACCAATACTACATCAAATGGAAACTCACTTGAACTGCTATTCCAGGTGCCCACATCGTTGGGGGGGGGGGGGGGGGTGAGACTCATTGTCGGGGCACCGTATCCCAGAAGGGAACAGGTGCCTTGTGGTAGAAGAGAATATATGTGTGCGGTCCCTGGATCTATTCTGCAAGAGAGTCCAACATGCCAATAGTGGAGGAACTGAGAATGGGTGTCCCTGGTGCTGTGATCTGGATTATTCCTGTAAGGCGCTCTGCTGGTCTCCTTTTGTAGTGGCATCAGAATGAGTACTGCGTAACCTATGATACAAGAGGGTCCTTGAGCCAAAATGACAATGATTGTTCCAGGATCAACATGCGAAGCAAAAGCAACACAGGGGGGCCCCCGTTTACTAATCCCAGGTGGACATTACGCCTTGCGGCGCCGGCGCTTGAGTTGGTGGCCTGCTCTGCGACTGATACGCCAAGATCAAGATGCGGCTGCTGGAGCACTTGCTGGGCTTTGGCAATGGCGGCAAGGAGATCATGCGAGGGCCACTATGGGTAACGAAAGCTGGCACCATCTGGTCCCAAAGCCTCGGATGATTTGAGCAGAGGTTTTCCTTCAACGCCGAGGAAGTCTTGCTGCTTTGAAGTGGAGATGCTCCAGCTGACAGCTGTGGCAGTCGCTGGCTCGAACATCAAGGTTAAGGAGGAGAGTCCAACCTGAGCCAATGCGTACAAGGTGGAGAGCCTTCCTGTTGAATAAGGCGGGCCCGACTTCAAAAACCTGGAGGTGACGGATGACTGGCACGAGGCCCAATGAGATCTGGGAAAAGGGGAGCCATCACAGACGAGTGGGCGCTACAGACAAAAACGCAAGCCTTTGAACATGATTGTGAGGGGGCGCTTGATGCAGCAGTTTGGCGCTGGGCAAAGGGCTGCCACCGAGCACCACAAGAATATCGTGGGCGCCGTTGCGGCTTTGCGTGGAAATTACGCACGCCAGCGGAAAGAGTTGTGGAGTGCCATGAAGATGCGGTTATTGAGGAGAGAGGGCGCGGCACACTGGAAGGTATGACCGTGCCTCGAGCGAATTGCTTTATAAACCACGAGCTGCCTTGAGCAGTGGACATGGTTGCGCGTTGTTGAATCCAAGCATGTGCGGGCACCAACCTACAAAACAAGTTTGCGTCGTTACACCCTGGCCAAGAACAGCTTCGGAGAACAAAGGATTGGCACAGCAGCTGTGCGCTTACCTGGGCCAACTCAAGCCTAGAACCCAAAATAACAACAAACATGGGTCCAGCCTTAAAAATTTATGCTGCAACCAGATTTGAGCGCATCACCCTCTGCCAGCGCACCCCAACACATCCGGCAATGGCGAACAAGTTGCAAGTCCGACCAAAGCCAAAATGACCGCAGGGCCGAGATGTTCACCTCACAAGAACCCCTGCTGATTGTTCACTAAGCTCCAAGGTGGCAGCAGCTATTCTCCAAAAAGCGGAGGGTGGAGAGGAGCCTACGATCCTATGATGGAATGACTGTCACTAGCAAATTCAAGTCTTAATTCCCGCTCTGCGCTTCCTGCAAAAAAGCCCGGCAACGTTTGCCCGGCCCCTACTGAAACCCTTTCTGGGCTCCCGGCCTTCCTTGCACCCGTTGTCTGAAGCGGGCCCCCGAAAACCGACCCAGAACCCCGGCCTGGCCTTGGCGCCTACGTCGCCAATTGGATTCCAATTCAACTTGAGATCAGTCACCATGGTGTTCTGTGTCAGGGCATCGGCCAATGCCTATCAGGGGTTGGTACTTGCCATGAAGATGCGCGTAGGCCGGGCGAGGGCCAGGGCTGCGTGTTGTTTTGTCTAAGCATTTGCAGGCCCAGGTTCACCAGGCAGCAACCTACAATGCTGGCCACTACAGCTTCGTAGAACAAGGGATTGGCACCTATTTGCGCTACGCTCTTAGCTGGGCCAACTCAAACCTGGGCCAACAAAAACAGCCTTGAGAAACAGCATTAAGCTGCAATCATGTCTGACACAACCCGCTGCCAGCGCACCCCAACACATGCGGCAATGGCAAACAAGTTGCAAGCCCCACAAAGGGTACGCCAACAAATCCGCAAATTTCGAGTTTCCCTCAAACCCTATTGCGTGACTCATCGTCACCCGAAGAGCTCCAATGGCTAACCAACGACATTTTCTGAGAAGCGGGGCGTGAAATGCAAAAAACAAATAAAAAAAACACAAAATAAAAAAAACGAATAAAAAACAAATAAAAAAAAATAAAAAACAAAAAAAAGAAAACAAAAATAAAAAAAAAAACAAAAAAAAAAAAAAAAACGAAAAACGATCCCAGTAGTGACAGGTGCAAAACAAACAAGTTCAAATCTGAATTCCCAACTCTGCGCGGCCCAAACACAATCCCACGGCAACTCATTGCCACGGCCTCCGAGCCGAGCCCCAGCCCGGCCGTCCGGCCTTGGCGCCCTCATCACCAATTTGGTTGCTGCTCAAGTCGACGAGTTTCACCGTGGCGTTCTGCGCTAGGGCATTGGCCAACGCCTGCCAGGCGCCGGTACTTGCCAATCCTCCGCCATGGATCTCACATGTCAACAAACAAGCAGGCCAAATTAATGGCTACTTTCTTGAGTTTTTTGGTGCAATTGCTCGGCACCGTTGACCCTATCAGAGAGCTTACAGGCTGCGGCGGAAAGCTGACAGTCCAGGGACTGCCAAGTGATTCGAGCAAGGTCAAGGGCCGCTTTGAAGATTCAAGTCTTGGCCGGTGGCGCTGTTGTGCCCAACATCCAGTCGCAACCAACATGTTCCACTTGCTGCAAGCTGGGCCGGAAAGACGGAGCAGGAGCTGCTGTTTGAGTGTGGGGAGCCAATGTGACCGTTAGGCAAGCGAACAAAAAGAAACTTTGGGCAGACTCTTGTAACAGCGGCAAGTGATGATTGTTACATGAGCTTCGCGTTGCCTCCAGCAAACTATTCAGTCTATTTCTGTGAGTCGCCTATTGCTTTCCATGAAACTTGCTAAACGATGAACCGATCTAAATCTGCATGACGGTAGTTTTGACTCCATCTGATATATAGCTCAAGGAACAGCGTGCATCTGTTGGCTGCTGTACCATAGATGGGGGAGTCTGAGGTGAAGCGGATAGGCAAATCCAGCAGGAGGTAATCAAGTGGTGCTCCAGCTGACAGCTGTTGCAGTCGCTGGCTCGAACATCAAGGTTAAGGAGGCGCGTCCAACCTGAGCCAATACGTACAAGGCGGAGAGCCTTGCTGTCGAACAAGGCGGGTCCAACTTCAAAAACCTGGAGGTGACGGATGACTGGCACGAGGTCAATGAGATCTGGGAAAAGGGGAGCCATCACAGATTTGAGCTGAAAAAAGTTGGGCATGAGGACGCCAACAACGGCCAATTGCACCAATTGTCACATGATCGTGAGGCGGCGCTTGAAGCAGCAGTTTGGCGCTGGGCAAAGGGCTGCCACCGAGCGCCACAAGAAGTGGGGCAGGCGTCCTGCTGTTCATCGTGGGCGCCGTTGCGGCTTTGCGTGGAAATTGCGCACGCAAGCGGAAAGAGTTGTGGAGTGCCATGAAGATGCGTGTATTGAGAAGCGAGGGCCCGCAGCGCACTGGAAGTTCCAGTGCAATGACGGGGAAGGGTGTGACCGTGCCTCGAGCGATGTGTACGAGCCGCCTTGAGCTGGGTCTGGTACAGTGGACATGGTTGCGCGTTGTTGAATCCAAGCATGTGCAGGCAGCAACCTACAAGACAAGTTTGCGTCGTTACACCCTGGCCAAGAACAGATTCGGAGAACAAAGGATTGGCACAGCAGCTGTGCGCTTGCCTGGGCCAACTCAAACCTAGGACCCAAAATAACAACAAACATGGGTTCAGCCTTAACATTTATGCGGCAATGGCGAACAAGTTGCAATTCCCACCAAAGCCAAAATGATCGCAGGGCCACAAGATCCCCTGCTAATTGTTCACTAAGCTCCAAGGTGGCAGCAGCTATTCTCCAAAAAGCGGAGGGTGGAGAGGAGCCTACGAACCCCGGCCTGGCCTTGGCGCCCTCGGCGCCAATTTGATTGCTCCACAAGACGAGCTTAGTCACCATGGTGTTCTGTGTCAGGGCATCGGCCAATGCCTATCAGGGGCCGGTACTTGCCATGAAGATGCGCGTAGGCCGCCATGGCTGCGTGTTGTTTTGTCTAAGCATTTGCAGGCCCAGGCTCACCAGGCAGCAACCTACAATGCTGGCCACTAAAGCTTCGTAGAACAAAGGATTGGCACCCATTTGTGCTACGCTCTTAGCTGGGCCAACTCAAACCTGAGACCCCAAATCAACAACAAACAACCAGCCTTGAGAAACAGCAAGCAGCAAGCTGCAACGATGTCTGACAACACCCGCTGCCAGCGCACCCCAACACATCCGGCAATGGCGAACAAGTTGCAAGTCCCACCAAAGCCAAAATGACCGCAGGGCCGAGATGTTCACCTCACAAGATCCCCTGCTAATTGTTCACTAAGCTCCAAGGTGGCAGCAGCTATTCTCCAAAAAGCGGAGGGTCGAGAGGAGCCTACGACCCTATGATGGAATGACTTGTCGCTAGCAAATTCAGGTCTTAATTCCCACTCTGCGTTTCCTGCAAAAAGCACGGCAACGTATTGCCCAGCCCTTACTGGGGGCTTTCTTTGCTCCCGGCCTTCCTTGCACCCGTTCGGCCGCCCCCGAAAACCGACCCAGAACCCCGGCCTGGCCTTGGCGCCCTCGTCGCCAATTCGATTCCGATTCAAGTCGAGCTTAGTTACTGTGTCAGGGCATTGGCCAACGCCTACCAGGGGCGGGTACTTTCATGAAGATGCGCAGGCCGAGCAAGGGCCCGAACAGAATCGGCCATGGCTGCGTGTTGTTTTGTCTAAGCATTTGCAGGCCCAGGTTCGCCAGGCAGCAACCTACAATGCTGGCCCTAAAAGCTTCGTAGAACAAAGGATTGGCACCCGTTTGAGCTACACTCTTAGCTGGGCCAACTCAAACCTGAGACCCCAAAACAACAACAAACAATCAGCCTTGAGAAACAGCATTAAGCTGCCACCATGTCTGATACAACCCGCTGCCAGCGCACCCCAACACATGCGGCAATGGCAAACAAGTTGCAAGCCCCACAAAGGGTACGCCAACAAATCCGCAAATTTCGAGTTTCGCTCAAACCCTATTGCGTGACTCATCGTCACCCGAAGAGCTCCAAGGTGGCAACGACCATTTTCTGAGAAGCGGGGGTGAAATGCAAGACGATCCCATGAACGACTTGTGGCAAACAAGTTCAAATCTGAATTCCCAACTCTGCGCGGCCCAAACACAATCCCACGGCAACTCATTGCCACGGCCTCCGAGCCGAGCCCCAGCCCGGCCGTCCGGCCTTGGCGCCCTCATCACCAATTTGGTTGCTGCTCAACTTCACGAGTTTCACCGTGGCGTTCTGCGCCAGGGCGTCGGCCAACGCCTGCCAGGCGCCGGTACTTGCCAATCCTCCGCCATGGATCTCACATGTCAACAAACAAGCAGGCCAAATGAATGGCTAAGTCTGTTGCTGCAATCGCTCCGGAAAGCTGACAGTCCAGGGACTGCCAAGTGATTCGAGCAAGGTCAAGGGCCGCTTTGAAGATTCAAGTCTTGGCCGGTGGCGCTGTTGTGCCCAACATCCAGTCGCAACCAACATGTTCCACTTGCTGCAAGCTGGGCCGGAAAGACGGAGCAGGAGCTGCTGTTTGAGTGTGGGGAGCCAATGTGACCGTTAGGCAAGCGAACAAAAAGAAACTTTGGGCAGACTCTTGTAACAGCGGCAAGTGATGATTGTTACATGAGCTTCGCGTTGCCTCCAGCAAACTATTCAGTCTATTTCTGTGAGTCGCCTATTGCTTTCCATGAAACTTGCTAAACGATGAACCGATCTAAATCTGCATGACGGTAGTTTTGACTCCATCTGATATATAGCTCAAGGAACAGCGTGCATCTGTTGGCTGCTGTACCATAGATGGGGGAGTCTGAGGTGAAGCGGATAGGCAAATCCAGCAGGAGGTAATCAAGTGGAGATGCTCCAGCTGACAGCTGTTGCAGTCGCTGGGTGCAAGGTGGAGAGCCTTCTTGTCGAATAAGGCGGGTCCAACTTCAAAAACCTGGAGGCGACGGATGACTGGCACGAGGTCAATGAGATCTGGGAAAAGGGGAGCCATCACAGACGAGTGGGCGCTACATACAAAAACGCCAGCCTTTGAGCTGAAAAAAGTTGGGCATGAGGACGCGTTTGGCGCTGCCACCCAGCACCCTGCTGTTCATCGTGGGCGCCGTTGCGGCTTTACGTGCAAATTGCGCACGCCCGCGGAAAGAGTTGTGGAGTGCCATGAAGATGCGCATATTGAGGAGCAAGGGCCCGCAGCACACTGGAAGGCGGGCATAACTTCCAGTGCAATGACGGGGAAGGGTATGACCGTGCCTCGAGCGATTTTATTTTATAAACCACGAGGAGTCTTGAGCTGGGGCTGGTACAGTGGACATGGTTGCGCGTTGTTGAATCCAAGCGTGTGTGGAGGAGGAACCTACAAGACAACTTTGCGTCGTTGCACCCTGGCCAAGACCAGGATTGGCACATTAGCTGTGCGCTTACCTGGGCCAACTCAAACCTAGGACCCCAAATAACAACAAACATGGGTCTAGCCTTAAAATTTGCGAAAGGGTTTGAAACAGTATTTCGGGAGAGAATAAACAGGCCCAATCCCACCAACAAGAAGAGATTGTTTAAACCCCCCAGTCCCAAGGGCAAAGTGGTGCCCTCGGCTGGCCGAACACGAGCCAAAACAGGGTGCCAGTTGTAACAAGATAAAGAAGCCCAGCAAGGGCAGAGACAACCGAAAGCAAGCACAAAGCAGCAAACCAAGCAGGCAAACAAACCAGTGCGGACACCACCAAACACACACACACCGACCCACAACCAGAAGACGTGCCTACCGCCGCGGAGCTCGGCCTGTCCTTTTCCAGGGGCAGGACGAGTTGCGGCGCCGTAAGCAGCCACTGTCGCTATGGCGGCGTAGTTCGCCGTGGTAAAAGCTTGAGCCAAGTGCCGCGTTGGGCATTGGCATGAAATTAAACACGTTGCGATAAAAGTACATGCCCCCAAAAACACCCCCCTTGACTGTACAAAGAGAAGGAGTGAATTTGGAAAGGCGCATTGGCCATGTTGAAGTTGAATTGCAATAAACAAGAAAAACAAAGACGATTAGGCTACCGGGGTTCGCGACCCCATACCTGGGCACACATTGGTGCCCGGATCCCGCCACCACCCCGAATTACGGGTATGGGGCGGATTCGCGCCGGTAGCCAAATCAAACAAGAGAAAGCAAAAAGAAACAGAAACAAAAATTCAACTCCAGAATGGCAGGCATGAAGCTAAATAAAAGACATTTGCATTGCAACCACATTGAACCGATAGACTCAAGTGGGTTTAATTTTGAATTATTGGGCAAGGCGCTTTGGCCGGTTGGTTGAAACGTGGTGCGTTGACCAGTTGTCATTGGTCTTAAAAGCACCGTCTAGGCGCGCGGTCACTTGAAGATGGCCGGCATGAGTAACACCGGCAGCAATCAGCGGTTCAGGAGGATGCGAATCGCCAGCGGCCAAAGACGCCGGCGAGGATGACTGCCTTGCGGTAACAGGGCGTACCTGGCAGGACAATGTGACCGGCGCGATTAGCGCACAGTCACTCGTGCATGTGAATTATGAGTCGGTGAATAACCGATTTGACGGATCGACGTCAGGAGCATTGTCCTATATTCGTCATCATGCAATGATTGAATTTACGATGAAACCATCGAAAAGTGCGAGTGCGCATTGGCACTTTTGGGTACGACGCAGCGCGTGCAGAACATGATAGGGCATCATTTGCCCCTGCCGCCGCCGCGTCGTCCCTTTCCCTTCCCATCGTTCCAATCCCCGGGTGGGGGATGAGAAGGCTCGGTTCCAGCCAACTCGTCATCATCACCCCAAGTTGGGGTGTGAGGTGAATTAGGGTTCATGTATGCGCCGGGATTTTCCGGCGGAAACTGCGACCAACCCTGCGGCATTGCGCCAGGCCACATTTGCGGCATCATGCCAGCCATGGGCTGTTGCATGAAGCCCCCCATTGGGAACGTGGGGTACATGGGACTTGGATATGGAAAAGGAGCGGCTTGTGCGCCCTTGTATCCCGAGCCGCGCGCGTCGGGCTGGTAGGGCGGATCCGCCACGGCCATACTGCTGGCCGTATAGGCCGCCTTTGCCCTTTTGCTGGTCACCTTTGTGACCCTTGAATTGGTCACCCTTGTGACCTTTACTTGCATTCGGGCCTCCTTTGGGACCCTCACCTTTGGGCCAGGAGCCCGCAGGGGCATTGCCCTTCCGAGTATCCCCCTTTCCTTTCTGATCCGGTCGCATCGAAGCGGAGCGATGATCACCCCGAGGTGTCGCCGCCCGCCTGTGACGCTTTCCAGATGGAGGATCCGCAAACGTGATGGCGCTTTGGCCATCGCGCTGCCCAGCGGGAACCATGTCGACCTTGTTCTGATCGGTGTAGATGTATGCCTCAGCATACTCAATTGGGACCGTTGTCGTCCCACCACCGCCCCTCAGGGAGTCAATGCTCAACCTGAGGGTCTCGGTGATGTCAAAATCAGTGTCTTCGCTGGTGAAGTCCGCAAGGCGAAAGCCCGGATCGCCCATGGTCGGATGTATATTACATCCCCTTCCTGGTGCAAGTAACACGCACGCCAGAAAGGTGCGTGAATCTCCTCACGCACGGCAATGAAACCGCGTCGGGTTTTGTATATGCCCGCGGCGCCCTCAATTGCCAACCATTTCAGGTCGATCGCCACGACAACATGGCGCTTGTCCATGTATGCGGTACGTTCATCGACGTAAAACTCGCCCTCATTGTTGGGGCTCGGCAGCTTCAGGAACGGCACCTTTGCGCCTTCCATGCCGATCTGAGTCTCCCCCCTGCAGATCTTGTCAGGTCGCATAGGGAAGACTTGAATGGCGAATTTGCCGGGACGTCGGTTTTGAGGGCAGATCTATACTCATGCATGGAGAGCAGCACATATCCCGTATAAGGGACC